AAAGCGACAAAAAATTCTTGCAACATCCACATATAACAAAGTGAGAGAAAACAGCATCAAATACCAAAGCTAGTAGAATTATGTCAGCAAAATTAGAACAAGATCTTCCAAAATTCTTACATTTGCTCGATCACTCTCAAAAATAAAGAACAAAGTAAATTTCCACTAATAAAAGAGACAAGATAACAGGAGGAAGTGGGGGTGAAATTACACTGAAAAATGGAGGTTAGAATTGCCATTTCTCCCTAATTAATTACTTATTACTTATAGCTTAATATTAATCCTAACATAGGCTAAGCATAGACAGAGCCATATGAGAGGGCCATCAGCAGAACCGCCGCTTGTTCCTCCTCGCCGAGCTTCCTCTGCTGCCTCTCCACCGTCGATCGCTGCATCAAAACCTCCCTTCCCAAAGCCAACAGCCGCTGCTTCAAGCCGTCGCGGAGCTGCTTGTTCTTCTTGCCCTTTTTATCGTTGGGGTTTTCTTTGTTTAATCCCAAAATAGCCCTCCTCTTCTTCCTGCTTCTGATCCCGCACGCATTACAAAGCGACTGAAAAGCACAAACAATACACGAATCAGATCAAAACCCAAAAGAGGAATTTAAAACATAATCAAGGGCTTATGGGTTGTGAAATGACCTTTGGGCCCGCCGGACCGCCTCTCCACAGAGGAGTTTTGGAGGTTCCACAGTCGGCGCAGGTTTTCTTAAAGCCTTCCTCCGAGGAACCGGCATCTGGGGTTTTGATAGTCATTTCCTCCGACTCCGATCCCTGCAGAAAACACAGAAACCCGATCCGATCAGTAACTATCCGGATCAAAATATAAAAACCCAGATCAAATGAAAGCTCTGGATCAAATAAACTCACTTTATCGCTTGGATCCAACATTCTGTATGAGATGTTATGAAGATCTGAGACAAACCCAGTTGAGAACGAGTAGGAAATCGAACTGGGTCGCGATCAATTTGATCGAATGGTTTCTGGTCAAGTAAGAAGCTTTAGTGACTCAGAGAACCCAAGCTACGGAAAAAACAGAGGAACAAGAAGGAAAGAGATCGATCACAACTCAGAAGCTGAGATCAAAAGTGCTTATAGCAGCTTTTCGAAAAAGCAGAGTGAAAAAATAAAGCAAGCAAAACAGAGGAGGCTAGCAATGGAGGCGTGTGGTGATTGGGATGAAGAGGCTAAATACTCAGACTGAACTCACATGCGGTGAGAGAAGGTAGAGAGAGAAAGGAAGAGAGGTAGTGAGAGAGAGAGCTGCGCAGTGAGAAGGGAAAATGAGGAATCAAACCGACCCACACTCGAACGCGCCGCGCAGCTGATCTGAAAATTGCCCCATTATATAAATGAGACGCGAAACCCTAGCCCGGGTAAATGGAAATGACAAAAATACCCACGGTTGTGGAAGAAACCACACATTTGATCCAACGGGAGGCAACCGCGCCAAAAGGTTGGTGAATTGAGGGGAAAAAAAGGGCGCCACATTCCGAAATTGGATTTGGGATTTGGAAATTTTTTTTTTTTTTGTTAAATTAAAATAATTATTGTTGGGTTAAAGTGGAAAAGAGAGAGGGGGATGAGGTGGTGAGATTGTGGCGGGAGCGAGTCACGACTGAGTCAGAGAGATTGTTGGTTCTGCACCGTTGGATAGGTCAAACTTGCTTTTGAGATTGGGGGTCTCAAACCATGTTTTTCGTTGGCGGCAAATCCAAATTTCTATAAAACTTAATAAATTAATGATGATTACCAAAAATAAATAATTAAAATTAAAATTGATTTTAAAGCATGCCACCTCCTTTTTTGGGATTTAATTTCAATGGGATCCCTTCAATTTTCCATCCATTTATTGTTGTATTATATAAACTGAATTTATATACTAAGGTTAAGTGAATTGAATATTGCCGGGAAGCCATTCGATGCCATTTCTAATTCTAGTTTCTAATTTACTATGAGTTTTTGAATTTGAATTTTCTTCCCGTTGTTTGCTACAAAGGATATTAAATTATGATGGGAGTTACTAATTACCTAGTTATGGGATAATTTATTTGAAATATAGTCTTTTGACAAATTTTCTCAAGCTCAAGTAATAGAGAAATTTTTCAGTATATTGAGAACACGGCCTGCTACACTAAGTGTTATAATACAGTTGAATGAAAATTTCTTTTTCAAGTTTCAAATGAATTGTATTATTATACTCTGTATACGAGGTCGTGTTCTCAATACACTTAATCATGATTAATTTTATAAGTCCACTTGGGTATTGAGCAATAATCAGTAAGAATTGAATTCCTTGCAATGGTTGGTAATTGCAATTGTAAAAAAAGAAAAATTCTCTCAAGGTAATGGTAAAGCAATGGCAAGAAAATTGTGATTTAGAGCTAAAAAATGTGTTTTTTGCATCACTTGTAATGTTACGTTTTATACAAAATGTAATATAAAAATATGATATCCGTAACATTACTCATGGAACCCAATACATAATTTTGTTTGTTTTTGGTGAAGGGTTGAGGAATTTGAAGAAGCATGGGGAAAACTCTAGAACTAGTCACTATTGAACAAAGTCGGCGAGTGGCCGTGGATAAACCAAGTAAGCTCCCTCAAGCCACACGTAAAAGATGAGCTTTATTATCCTCTTAATCTCATCTCATTACCACACTAATCACAAACCAAAACTCACACTAATCACAAACCAATAAAAAAGATTGGATGAAACGAAGGGAAAAGACCAAAGAGGGCCTCTTTTGATCCCTGTTGGCAAGGCTTGCATAGATATTAGATAGATCATAGATAGGGAATTAGATTCTCTCCGGATCCCCGCCTAGAATTTCGCAGATCAATGGATATTAACCGTTTATCAAAGATCGTACGGTTACAATTTTTTATTTATTTATATTTTTCATACAAAATAAGACTACTTTATTTTTTTAAATATAAAAAAAATATTTAATTGTAACCGCATGATCTTTGATGAACGATTATTATTCATTGATTTTCAGGATCCCCAGCGAGGAAATCCAAATAGGATCTAATTCCCATGGATAGGAAGGAAACAAGAGACAAAAATTTGCCAGACAGACAATATTTTAATATAAAATGTTATATGATATTACGAAGGAAAATGAGAGGTCCTGGTGATGGGCCACCTTTTGTTTCTTTCCACCACAACCCAATGATAATCCTGGACCACACCACACACACATTTCCCTATTCACTTGCTTGCTATCCTAATTTCAACTTTTTTTATCCAACTCTTCATTTCCATTTCTTGCTGTTTTTTTCCGTGGTGGTAGGAAAGTTGGAAGCTCATATGGTTAAAAGGAATTTAATAAGCTCATGTAGTGAAGCTTGTTAGGATTAAGATTTAAAATTTGAAATTTCGTCAATTTTCTGTTAATAATTAGCATGTGAGTCATATGTATAAGGTTAAAACGAAACTCTATGTTAATTGTTAGCATGTGAGGCTTATATGTGAGACTAACTTTATAATTTTAGTCTCATATGTGAGTCTCATGTGCTAACAATTAACAAAGAGTTAACGACATTTTCAATTTTGAGCCTAACTCCTAACAGACTTCACCATAGAGATTTAAATCCTTTTTTTTTTTTTTTTTTGCTACATAGATTATTTTTCGATAACCCTGTTACCACGAGGCTATTAATCAAATTGAACCTTGGTTCAAAGGTTAGTGACGTTTTGGTCTATTTATTAAGATAATTGAACAGGTTTAGTAACCTTTTACAAATTCCTACACTTTTGTCTAGTCTAACAGTTGACCCATGTTTTACTTACCTGCATAGAGCCGTATACATGACAAACAGATCAACACTAGGCTATATATGGACAACAAATAACAACTTTAATAAAGATGAATAATAACTTATATGACATTAATCTAATATTCATATAAGCAAAATATAAGCTTACCGAGTGTTGTATTGTTTAAAAATAATAGCATTAGCTTATAGTTTGACTGAGTGAAGACCAGTAGCATAACATTCTGAAACTTAATGGTACTAAACTGTCTTATTACAAAAGACATGTCCCAAATTGTTACCTGCCTCAAAATACAAAGGTAAAAATGTAATTATCCCAATTATATATTGCAGAATCAGCATGCGTGCTGCTAGGCTAGGTCAATCTTCAAATTCCCAATGATGTTACCATACAGACAAATTCAGAGAGGTTTTTTACTATTGAATAGCGAGCCCAAACAGTCGCTCTCTTTATGCTCTTGTCTGGTGCAAATTGCAAGAAAATGAAAAGTTGGGCTTCTGAAAAAGGCAGGGAAAGAACATCACAACAATTCACACGCCCACAAAAACATAAAAAAGAAAAAGAAAAAAGCAGGGGTCATAATTAAATAAGTGTAATGTAAAGGAGGTTAATTTTGTTTTAAACTAAATTTATAGATGAAAATGATGTGGTTGTAAATGATATATTATAAATCAAGTGTGGATTAACGTAATTATTTCTTATTAACGACATATCATTTGGTATGCAATTTAATTTTAAAAATTTAATCTCCTTACCATTATTTATAAAATAAAATCACAGTAAAAATATCGGTTCGCTGGTCTAGATTTTCGTAATTATTTCTTATTAACAACACATCATTAGGTATGCCATTTAATTTAAAAAATTTAATCTCCTTACTATTATTTATAAAATAAAATCGCAGCCAAAAATTTAATACCCTGGCCCAAAGGGTCTATATAAAAGACCGAGATTCTTCAAAGATCATCTAACAAAACCAAGTGGACAGCAGGACGCTGAAACTAGTTGCGAACTAGAGGTGAAACCAACACTTCGTACTCCAATCTAATTGTATTCCTCTTCACTTGAAAGCAAACGAACTTGTGTTTGATTCTCACCAAAGGCGAATCTAAACCAAATTATTATAGTTGACCCATTGTAAAGTTTAATTCACTCTCTCACATCTTAGTGTTGATAATATTGTTTGTTCTACACAATAAAACAAAAACAAAAAAACTAGAGGTGAAACCTAACAAGGCCCAAGCTATAAAAGTTGGAAATATGGAAAGAATATAATACAATAATCACAATGTCATATTACTAAAACACCCCTGATCATTTTCCTTGCAATACACCAGAAAATGAGGAGTTCAATTCCATATTCACTCGACAAGGCAAAACAAATCATCGACTCCAAATTATAAAAAAAAAGATCGGACTCAATGCTGCATTCAAGAAAACCCTCACCAGCACATTCGTTCAAGGGCCCTGTTCACGCAGCAACGAGCCTCTACGACACTTCCATAGTATTTCAAGGTACGAGGCAGCGATGATGACCCCTCCCGACCAAACGTCATGTGCCACAACTCAATCTCTTCTTATTCGGTCATAGTAGAATATACTGACCTGACCCACCCTTGGCATCTCTGACCACGATGGTTGCCGGACCAGACTGAAACCAGACACTAGAGATGCCGCCGACCCACTCCAACTTGACCAGACTTGACCCCAAACTTGACCCTCATCAGAACTTCTGCTCCATTCAATTAAAAGCCCCTGCAATTTTCGGAAACCAAAACAGTAAATAACAGGGAGACAATTACTTGTTGAACCAGTCACCGTGTTTAGGATAACCATCAATCGTTACATGCCAAACAACATCGAACTTGGATGGGCTTTGCATACCTTCAGCTAAAGTTGAATCCACCAGATGGAACCTGAACCTCATTCCCTTCAAAGCGGAAGCCTTGCTGGGTACCATCTCCTGCTGGTAATGTCTCTTCGTCTTCCTCCAACCAATATGTCTCAAGAATTTTTACAGACTTCTCATAGATCTCAGTGTTGTCGTGACTCTGTAGATTTTCAATCTTTTCTAGACCCTCAGCATCATCAATCAGCTGGGCATACAAGTTAACTTCTCCACTGTTACCCGCAGCTTTTTCAGCTTCCCCAACCTTCAGAATGTTCTCCAACCCTTCTAAACAGACAGTAACGATCCTTGGATCAGGGCATACAAGAAGATCACACAATGGTTTTATACAGCCTTCGCCAACCAGGTACCTGACACACCATAAAGAAAAAATACACTTAATATGAACCCATACTAGAGAACCAAGAGGGCTTGGAGAAGGAAATTAAGAGATCACTCACTTGATTTGATCAGGAGTTCCACCAGAAGTAGCATTTGAGATTGCCCATGCAGCTTCTTTCTTTATGTCAAACTCAGCATGTTGAAGCAAGTTGACCAGAGGACCGATCAAACCAGCTTCAATTACAGACTGCGTCATTTTTTAGAAAACATGGATAAGAAAATTTCATGAACACAGTTGCAAAGGATAGGTTTTCAAAAGAGTCACTTCTATAAGACATGATAATTGAAACAATCAACCTTTGCATACTTGCAGCATATTATCTACTTAAAGCTCCCACATAAACTGAGATTCTCATAGACTAGTCTAGTATGAAGAACTTTTCCCCCAAACTTAAACGGAAAAGGTTGATACTAGGAAAATAAAACCATCAGTCTCAATGTTAGATTGGACATGTCATGTTAAGAACTTAGGATAGTAGATACTGACGAAATGCTAAAACGTCCACTCAGCAAAACCCCAATATTCTAAAAAAGAGATATATTGTAACATGCATAAAACAATACACAAGAATACTCTGAGAACATACTATAAGAGTGTAAAGCCATCAGTAGCCAATATTAGCGATGAGGAGAATCAATACAATAACCTATTTTACAATGATTACCTGTATTTGATCCCTATTTCCAGCTGTAATGTTTGAGATTGTCCAGCAAGCTTCTTTCTTGATGCTCTTTTTATGATTATGAGTCAACAGGCTCAGAAGGCATGGGAGTGAACCATTGTTAATAATACACTGAAGAAAACGATTGCGAGTCATGATCGTAAAAAATAAAATTAAAAATTAAAAAAAATGGATAGCAAGTTGAGATGACAGCAAAGATGACATTACATAATGGTAAAGTCAGATTAGTAATTAGGGCACAATTAATAGCCTAACGATCACCATGATTCAACCACAAAGGGATTTCTTTCTCATTAAGTCATTATAATGGTCTATACCTAAAACAAAAAATCCTTCAAATTCATATGTTGAACACGCATAAGATGTAAATAAGTTTATTCAGACTTTCAGACAATCTGTAGACATGTTCACTAGCATCCAATATGTGTATGACATGACCGACATTGTTTTCCAATTAGGTTCTCTGTTTACCATAATTTCAAATTACTGAAAAATGCTTATTTTGACGTAAAAGGATAATTAGTTTTAACTGCATCAGGTAATAGCCTTGAGTTAAAAACGATAAATATATGATTCTAAAACATATTTCATAAATAAAACAAGTAATCAAAATGTAATTGAAAAACAAATTCAAGGTCCTGATACCTGAGTCTGAAGATCATCTCCAGTCACAATATTACCAACAGTGCGAAGTGCCGGAATGAGAACAGAAGGAGATGGATGTCTGAAACAAAAAAAAACAAACCATCAGCATCATGGGCCATAAGAGAGAAGTAAAAGCACAGAGATCAGGAGTGTAACACTCACAAGAGGAGCTGCACAAGTCGGACGCAGACACCTGCCTCAATCACAGCTTGGATTTTGTCATTCGTACCATCAGAGAGATATGAAAGTGCCCAGCAGGCATCTGTCAAGACTTCTTCATCATTGGAATGAACTAAACGTTCAAGAGCTGGAAGTGCTGGCTTCACCTAATAATGAGACACTAAAGCTAATAAAAATCCGGAAGAATAATCAAACAGCTTTTTTGAATACCAAATTTTGGAAAGCACAAGACACAAACCTGGTCAAATGGAGGCTGTGGCTTGCCCCTGCAAAAGTTAGACAGAGTCCATGTTGCATTTCTCAGCATTGAAAGCTTTGCATGCTCATTCAACTGAGCCAGCAACGGCATCAAGGCTCCACTGCCGAGGACAAGATCACGGCATCTAGGGGAATCACCAGCAACATTTCCCAATGCCCACACAGCCTACAATTTCAGAATAAATTTCAGAAAGAGCCCAGTATACTCTATGTGGTGAATTACAATCAATACACTGACCAACAAACAGAGCCAATAAGTATTAAAGTATACCTGCTCCCTAACATCATCACTCGGAGAAGCAAGAAGCTTTACAAAGATTGGGACTGCCCCCTGCTCAATCACCACCTTGGTGTTCTCTGAGGTTCCTGACGCTATGTTTGTAAGAGCCCAAGCAGCCTCAAACTAGACAAAATCAAATAAATCAAATAAATCATCAACACAAATAAACAAAAGCACAGACAATCATAAATAACAATGCAACACAGAAACCAATTCGAACCTGAAGTTGTGGAAAATCCTCCCTCATGAGGAACGCGACAAAGCGAGGAACCACTCCAGATTGGATAACTTCCTCAATCGGAGGGCTTCGTTCTACAAGTTCAAAAAATAAGATTATAATCAACACTACCAATTTTTCATGTACACTAAAAACATTAAACACAAACACAAAGGAAACAACTCAAAGAAATCTTAATCACGTAAATTACCAATCGAAAGAAGTTTTCTGAACTGCGTAGTGGACTCCAGCTGCAAATTGTTGTCGTCAGACCAAACCCCAGCAACCATGGCAGGAAGACTCTCTAACTGCAATCATATACAAACCCACATGAGTACCAATAAGTTGAATTTTACCCTATTGCTCAAAACATTAAATCAAAACCCTAAATGGCTAAAGTCGGATCCATTCAAATCCATAATTGAAGAGATCGGCGACGAAAAATCCCTAGCAAAACTATTACCTTCTTCTCGAGATTTGAGGGCTGGAGAGATGGCGCGAACTGCTGGGCTTGGAGGCCTTCGCGACGCTTCTTCAGCAAGCTCTCTTCGCGCTTGCTCTTCCGGATCTCCACCATGTTGTCCTCTCTCCTGCGACGTCCCTCCTCGGCGTCCACCGCCACCTTGTAGCGGTTCCGGCGGACCTCGGTCCTCGCGCTCGGCCTCAGCGACATGCCGTATGATTTGAGTACGTCTAACAGGGACTGATCGTGCTCCCAATCGGTCGGAGACGGAGGAGGAGAGCAACAGAAAACCCTAGAAATTGGACTTCTCTGAGGGGGGGACTGAGGGAGAGAGAAGGGTTCCTACAGGCCTGATTCGGGGTTTGAAAGAAATTATATATTTTTTTTCCTTTTCGGGATTTTATAAGAGAATTTATCATAAATAGCAAAAAATTAGCCTTTAATTTTAAGAAGTTTTAACGAAGTACTCGGTATTGTTTACTTTTAACGAAAATAACATTTTTACTTTAAAAAGTCATTTATAGTACTATTCACTTACAACATTTTTTTTGTCATTTTAATTAAAACTCAAAAATTTCAAATATTTTTCATTAGTTTTCCTTTAATTTTAAATATGTCAATTTTTATAAAAACTTTTAAATATATTCAAAATCTCACTTAAATAGATACAAATACCTCTCAATTTTAAAAACAAAAAAACCTTAAAAACCAAAACCCTATTAGATGCGGAATTAGAAAACCTAACGGCAAAACCCTAGACGTAAGAAACAGTGAAGACATGTGCATAAGAGAACGAAGGCATCGACTGCTAGTAGGATACAATAGAGACTTGTGCAACCCTAAACGACGGTGAGTATAGATGGTTACTTCTCTTACATTTTTCCTTGTCTACGTTGTCTCTTTGATCTTGTAGTTTCTTCCTTCTGAATGCAAACATAATCTGGCAAACATGTTTAAAGCAGATTTTTGGTACAATAGTTAATAAAATCGTATTATAATAAGAACCTACAAAATGGACCTACTGCCTTTTTTTTACATGGTTAAAGCAGTAGTATCGTATCCCAAATTTTGTTTACATGGTTGAAGCACTTTTTTTTTTTTTGGCATTTTGCATTTTGTTTGCTTGATACGATAGTTTGATTTTTGTATTGTCTGGAGTAGTTCATCACATATTAAGAACCTTTTATACAAAACAATTTGTGCAACATTAGTTTATTAGTTTATATTTTTTGTTAGGCTTTGTGATTGGAACTATCTGTTTATTCAATTACATGTTTGCTTGCATATAGTTTTACTTTTTCTTACTGTTTTGCGTACTGTTTTGTTTATTTCAACTATCTGTTTATGTCATTTTATTTTTTATTTTTTTATTGTTTTGCTTATTTTCATGAAAATGTCTAGTTTGACAATTTTGGTGAACTATGGTGGGAGGTGGACTAACTCAGTATAAAAATTGCAAAATTGCAAAACGAGAGGATTACTTGTTTCAGATAAAATTATATTTGTGGAACTTCAGAAGAAAGTACATGGTATTGTGAATGTGGATCCAAATAAATATGAGGTAACTATGAAAGTCATATATAACCCAATGGAAACTACATGGCATGTAGATATAGTTGATGATGATGATGATGTCAAGGCATTTATTTTTCAAAACCTTTCAAGGTCTTGGAAGATTCCATTATGTGTTACATTAAAGCAGAAAGTATTTTCTTCGAAAGTGGGATAAATCAACAAGCTCCGTCTAACTTCAAACAAGACCCATTGCAAACGGATCTCAACTTTGTTACTCAAGGTGATTTTGAAGATAATGTGCGACATGATTTAGATAACGACTTGGTAAATCAAGAATTTGAGCATGCATCATATCATGAAGAATTTGAGAATATGCCACATATGGAGTCTGATAATGTGTTCCAAGATAATGTTGAGTTCAATGAGTTGCCTTCTGAAAGCATGGTGCGTGATGATGTGCCTATTAATATGCAATTTGACGAACCCAGCTCTAACCGATCAGATGGTCACAAGGGTAAAGTGCCGAACCTGTGCAATTTAGATGAAAATTTAGTTGTTGGTCAATTGTACGAGACTAAGGAGGATTTAAAAAAAAAAAAGTTGGGTATTGATGCTATGAAGAGCAATTATGAGTTCAAAGTGAAGAGATCAAACAAAGAAAGGTTTGAAGTTGGTTGTATTGGTGACGGATACAAGTGGAAATTCTGTGCTTCTAAATTACAACAATCTTCATATTTCAAGATTAGAAAATACGTTGCTATGCACTCATGTTCATTGGATGTTATTAATCGCCATCATTGACAAGCAAGTAACTCTCTTATTGGTCAATGCATAAAGTCTAAGTATGAGGGTGCATCACGAGTACATAGACCACGTGACATCATCGATGACATACGAAAGGACAAGTGTGTGAGTATAAGTTATGTGAAGGCTTGGAGAGCTAGGGAACATGCATCGGAGTTGGTTAGGGGATCACCGGAAGAATCTTACGCACTACTTCCATCTTATTTTGATGTGTTCGAAGTCAAAAATTCAGTTACGATAACACATATTGAAACTGATGAGAATAATTGTTTTTTGTATTGTTTCATGTCACTTGGACCTGGCATAAGAGGATTTCAAAGTGCTATTATGTCGTAATAGCAGTCGACCAGACATTTTTAAAGGGTAAATATCTTGGAACTATGTTTGTTGCCACATGCATGGATGACAATAAATAAATATACCCTCTAGCATTCGGAGTTGGAGATTTAGAGAATGACGCATCATGGAATTGGTTTTTGACAAAACTATGGGGAACAACTGGGGAAATTGATGACTTAGTGTTCGTTTATGATAAACATGAAAGCATTCGAAAGGCTCTCTCATCTGTTTTTCCCAATGACCATCATGGTGTATGTATATTCCATTTAAGTCAAAACCTTAGGCACTATTTTAAGCATGAGAAAGCACACAAATTGTATTTTACAGTTGCTAAGGCATATCGTGTTCTTGAATTTAATTGTCTTATGGCTGAAATATATAAAGTTGATGTTGAGGTGGGTAATTATCTCCATTCGGTTAGACATGAAAAGTGGTAGTGTGCCTACTTTGATGGAAAACAGTACAGCATCACAACAACAAATATTGCTGAATGTCTCAATGCAATCACCAGAGATGCTCGTAAACTACCTATCACTCATTTTCTTGAGTAGTTAAGAATGAATATTCTGCATAAGTGGTTTTATGAGCGCCGAACTGAGGCTGCCAAAATGAATACACATTTAACAAATTAGGCGGACAAATTGGTGCGAGATAATAACAAGCAAGGATTATCATTCCAGGTATTTTACTTCTTCACTTACATCAAATTTATTTTTTAAGTTGCCTATTTAATTCTGGCACATACTAGATCTTACCTTTCATCTTACTTGTCAGGTTTTTAATCTCAATCAACATATCATTTTAGCAAGAATTATTGTTAATCATTATAGTAATATAATTGTGGACCCAATGCAAACAAAATATGGCAAACATGTTTACAACTCTTATAGCTTTTATTTTTTGTTAGAACAAACTAGTTGTTGATCATCAAGATACGATGATTGCCAATGAATTATTGTTGATCAGTGGTTCTTTTGTTTGAGTAATATATGTATGTATGTGAATATGCAGGTATCGCCTATCGCAGCTTACTTGTTTCATGTATACGATGGATCTCGTATTAAAGTTGTGAATTTAGAGGAAAAAAGTTGCACTTGTTGTCAATTTGATCTTGACCAACTACCTTGCTCACTTGTTTGTGTTGCATGTAGGCACCAACAAATTTCATGTTATCCTATGTGTTCCCATTATTATACTACAAACTATCTGGTCATTGCGTATGCAGAAGCTATATGGCCAGTTGGTGATCAGACTGATTGGATAGTCATTGATGATGTGCGTGAAAGAATTTTCCTACCACCAATTACCCGAAGAAGATATGGTAGGCGCAAATATAACATAGTAACGTAATTACGCGTTTTCATACAAAGTATAATTAATAAATGAACTATTTTAAAACTGTTGAATTTCAAAAAACGGACGCCAGATTCAGATTCAGCACGTCAAGAAACCTAATGAGGGACCTCGGGTTCTTCCACGCACTGCCACAAGGTGGCTGCACAGGCAGCCATGCACCGCACACACACATTCTTCACAATACCTGCAGTTTTTGCAGGTTTTCCCCTCGATTTTCAGAGCTAATTTCTAACTCAAAACTTAACCATTTTCAGTGTTCTACTCTATGTATGTGAAGCTTGTAATGAAGAGAGTATGATCATACCATCATGGGGACAAATCGTGGTCTGGGACGGCCGGAACAAATTCTTGAAAGTGGCCGGATGGCCACGGTTTTGCTTTTCCAGAAAACTGGGGAAAGTCTCCCTTCATCTCTACAGTCTCCAAACCCTACCAAAACAAGTGCAAAACCTTAAGATCTTCCACAAATATAAAAAAGGAAGGGAAATAAAGTGTTCTCAAGGCCAACCTTAGTTGGAATCAACAAGAACTCATCGGAGAAGATGATGAACAATGACAATGGCCACTGTGCAATGCAAGCTCCACGTTTGGGTTTGATGTCCTGGTCTGAGCTTAACAAAGATAGGAAATAACAAGGTGTGGTGGTGGTTTGATGGTTTGGCTCGAAGGAGCCGGGGAGTGATGGTGATGCTGCAATTGCACCATCTCGGTGCCTGCAGAGAGACTGAGGAGAGTTCGAATGAGAGAGTTTAAGAATGTATGGAGTAGGGTGAGGTGGTGATCTGGATTTTTTACACTCGTCAAAGTGGCCACCATTGCAGGTGGCTGGTGGTGGTAGATCGGTGCACTGTGCACGCAGAGAGGGTTTTGAGATGAAGGTGAGAGAGATATAGTAAGATGTGGGAGAGAAGAAAAGAAAAAAAAATTGAAAAAATTGAGAGAGATCTGAGAGATTTTGAAGGTATGAGATATGAGGAAGGAGTGGGGAGTCCCACCGGACAGAAAGCTCAAAAGAAAATGTTAAAATAATAGAGAGCCAATTACCTACAATAGGGAAATTACTAAAATGCCCTTCAATTTCGTAAGTCTGTAAAGTCTCCATTGTAACTCCAAATTCAATTCTGCTTATACCTACGTGTTCGTATTGTCAAGTACTACAAGGATACGCTAAAATAATATTTCGTACGTCTCACTATACACTGGTCAACGAAAGTTAATACCCTCGCCTCTAGGGGCATTTCGTCAATTCTCTTTTTTAAAATTAATAAAATCATAAAAATTAGGAATGAGTTGTCACACCAAAATCATTCACTAGCCTAATTGGATAAACAATCATGCTGATAATGTAATCAAAATATAG